AAAGAAAGAAAGAAAGATTTTACCAAAAAAGTGAAAATAGAGCCTGCAGACTGGGATGCATTTTTTTTTCTTTTTTCAATGACATATCATACATGGACCTAATCTCTAAAATTATAGAAAACTGTAATACCTCTACAAGAAAAAGACAAACAACCCAATTAAACAATGGGCTGAGGACATGAACAGATACTTCACCAAAGAAGACATTCAGGTAGCCAACAAACATATGAGGAAATGTTCACAACCATTAGCCATTAGAGTGATGCAAATCAGAATAACAATGAGATATCATCTCACCCCAACATTAATAGCAAAGTAAAAACAAAAAAAACAGAAAGCAGCAAAATGCTGGTGAGGGTGTAGAGTAACTGGGACCTTCCTACATTGCTGATGAGACTTTAAAATGATGAAACCACTGTGGAAAACAGTATTGCACTTCCTCAAAAAATTGGAAATAGAAATACCGTATGACCCAGTAATCCCTCTACTTGGTATATAGCCACAAGAAATATGAGCCAGGACACAAGTAATTATATGCACACCCATGTTCATCGCAGCACTATTCACAATAGCCAAAGATGGAGACAGCCTAAATGTCCATCAATGGAAGAATGGATAAGCAAACTTTGGTACATACATACAGTGAAATACTATGTAATGGTGAAGAATAATGATGACTCTGCAAAGCACCTCATAATATGTTTGAATCTGGAAAGCATTATACTGAGTGAAGTTTTTTTGTTGTTAAGCGCCACTGAGTCAGTTCTGAATCATAGTGAGCCAGTATAGGGTTTCCAAGAAGCGGCTGGTGAGCTTGAACTGTTGACTTTGCAGTTCAAACCAGCCTTACAGTCCAGTGCATTATTCTATAGCACCACACCAGGATTTCTGAGTGAAATTAGTCACCCACAAAAGAACAACTATTGTAATAGACTACTATTGTAAAAACTCAAGAAAAGGTTTTCATGTTAAAGTAAACATTCTTTTATGGTTACCAGTGGTGTGAGGGAAGGGAGAGTAATTCAGTAGCTAGAGGGGTGACACATGTTAACTCAGGTGATGGGGAAGGCAATATGGAAGAAAAGGGAGGTTGGCAGAAGAAAGATGAAGATAGGTGAAGACGCAGGGAGTATGAGAAGACCCAAGGGGATAAGAGGTAAATAGTGATATATACACAACCCTGAAACAATAGTGTCTTTTTATGGGTAGATACATGGACAGATAAGGAGCTCTGGTAGTGTGGTGGTTATGCATCTGGCTGCTAATCTCACGGTCAGCAGTTCAAAACTACCAGCTGTTCTGTGGGAGAAAGATGAGGCTTTCTGCACCCATAAAGATTTAGAGCCTTGGAAACCCTGTACAGTGTTGCTATGAGTCGGAACCAACTCCACAGCACATAACAACAACAACAACATGGACAGATACTCAGGTTGGATGGGAGGAAGAGTAGGAGCATACCTACAAATAGATAAGGATTTGAAAAAAGATATATTTGTATGTGGATATTTACCTTTGCTGTAAGCACAGGTATCAGTGTTGTGGAGAATGCTGTTATTGTTAAGTGCCGTTGAGTTAATTCTGACTCAGCAGTCCTATATAGGGTTTCTGAGGTACTACTGGTGAGTTTGAACTATAGACCTTGTGGATCAAACCAACCTTGAAGTCGAGTACTTGGCCTAAAGTGCCACACCAGGACTCATACATTAGGCAAAATGATTGGAAAAAAAACAATTTTTTTTTTGTTTGGAAATATCAAACATCTTAAGACAATATGTTGCTGAGCCTGGGGTATCAGGCCCATAGTCTCAGGAGACACCATGGTTGCTTGACATAACATAGGCCACAAAGACAGTGTTCTACATTCTGTTTTGGTGAGTAGCATCTGGGATCTTAAGAGCTCATGAGTGGTCACCTATTGATCTCTACATGTGCAGAAGAAAAAAAGTGATGAGAATTGAAAAGGCTTGGAATCAGTGAGTCTAGTGGACTAATGAAACATTGAATATTAGTTTCCATGACGATGAGACCAGAAGAACTAGATAGTGCCTGACTACCACTAACAGTTGCTCTGAAAGGGATCACATTAGAAGGTCCAAGACAGAGTGGGGGAAAATGTGAAACAAACATAAAAATTAAAAAACAAAACAAAAAAGACTGGACATACTAGTCAGAAAGAGACTAAAGGAACCCAAGATTATGGCCCTTGACCACCTTTCAGGTCTGGAAAGGAACTCAACTTCATGGCCCAATTTTCAGCCAAGCATAGTTAGACATATAGGGGGAACAACAACACTAGTAAGGTAGTCTCACCATGAAATGGTCAACCATTCAAGCTAAAAAGGGCAACATTTACCTTGGGACAAGGTTTAGAGGACTTCACAAAAAGTGTGGAATAGAAATTGGAACCACAGGAGAAGGTAGGATAATTGTTGTTGCAGGGAAGGTGTTTTAATCATTGAGGTGTGAAACAAAGTGTATTTTTGTTGAATGTAGAACTGATGATCTTGTCTGTAAACCTTCACCCAATTCACAATAAAACATTTATTTCCAAATGTACATTTAAAATTAGAGCTAAAAATGATACTTAAATTTTTAATCTAATTCATTTCATGTAAAAGCTATAAAATAGTTATATTGAACTAGCGAATATTTTATACGTTAATATTCGAAGAATCTCATTAAAGTCCCTAATTTCTCATATGGAGAACTTTGAATTCAATATCCTAGAAACAGCAACATGGGGCAGGTCAGTATACACTAGAGCCATAAAAATTTTAACAAGGGAAACTGCTATACTAGTCAGTAGTACATTTTTCACTGAGCTTTTAGAATTACTTCTATTTAGAAATCCTGTTAGTGTGCTTTGAGCTATAATAAAATCATTTTTGCTACAACAACAAACTGAATGGTTTTCCCACATTAATATTTTTTTGACTTCCCTCTCTTTTAGGATTTCATGTTGTCTATTGGAAAATAGATATTCATAGGTAAATAAAAGTAAGTGAAAGAAAAAGAAAAGGACAATTTGTAGGAAAGAAGTCCTATTCTGTTTTTTGTTTCCAGAATAGAATCTGGTTTAATTAGTTGAATTAACAGGTGCGTAGAGAGTCTGAATGATAGAAAGAGTGTAGGTGGGTTAAGAAAAGCTTTCTTGAAAGGTACTTTTACTCTAAAGCCATCTTTATCCCAGCTTAGAGCTATTTAATCTTTTCTGAAATGACATAAAAGCAGGGATTTCAATTTAATGTGGAAAGCATTCCATTCTTTAATCATGACAACATCCTCAAAAAGTAGTATTAAGCCATATAGCAGTCATTATTTTCAGAAAAGATCTTAGTGTTAGGTATTGTGTTTATTCTTCCAACTAAGTAGGTATCTTTCACTAACCAACCCAAGATTTTCTGACAATAGAGAATAGAATTAACATATTAGTAGCAACTGTGTACCTTTGGTAGATAAGAGTTAAAATTGATATTTCTTATTTAGTACTTTATCTCATAATAGTTAACCATCTACTCTGTTTCACAAGTGATTTTCACAGGCAACCACTTGAAGATAAACACTAGTAGATGGTACTAGTTTGTACATTTGAGATATTAAGGGGAAGTGCTTAGTTTTAAGCTGATTAAATATTCTTCCATTTTAGGAATAAAGTTGAGTAAATTAAAATATATTTAGATCATCATCTCTACCAAGTTTTTAGTATTCTTTAAAAGAAAAACAACAACAACAAAAAAAACGTAAGATTTCTGTCACCAGGAAAAGTATAAACATAATTAATTATTTAAGAAAAATGTCTTTTACATCTATGAAGTACTTTATCATTTATAAAACATTTTCTTGTAGTTTGTTCAGTAAAAAGATTTCTTAGTATTCTTATTGTTATTATCATTATCTCTACTTTGTAGTTAAATTAATCAGCAAGAGTGGGCCAGCACATACTGCTGTTGTGAAGTGCCATCATTTAGTTCTGACTCATAGTAACTCTATATAGGGTTTCCGAGGAGCAGATGGTGAGTGTGAACTGCCAACTTTTCAGTTAGCAATCTGATGCTTACCCTATAAATGCCAAACTGGTACTCTGGCTAGTATATAAGGAATCTAAAACTGGAACTCAGAGCTTCCAAATGTTGTCTGTTGTTTTCCCAGTTTATTTTTTTCATCAGTCATTCTTAGACTAATTAATCTATGTATTTTCATATTACTTTCTACTCCATAAGATATTATCTTTTATATTTACCATCGGGTTTGTTTTTTTTTCCCCTCTGTGTCTTTAGGGCAGAGCTCTACTCCATTGGGCATGTGACCGAGGCCATAAGGAATTAGTCACAGTCTTGCTACAATACAGAGCTGATATAAACTGTCAGGTAAGAGTGGTGAAGGGTAGCATCTTGTTTTTTTTTTTTTTTAGATTGAAGTAAAGTCACATAACATAAAATTCAACATATTAGCATTTTAAAGTGTATAATTCACTGTTTCGTATGTTCACAATGTTGTGCAACCACTGCCCCAGTCTGCTTCCAGAATAATTTCATCATCCCAAAAGGAAACCCCTTATCCACTGAGCACTCAGTCCTCATTTTTCCTTAATGGGAAAACTCATTAATCTGCTTTGTGTTTCTATGAATTTGCTTTTTATGATTATTTCATATAAATGAAATAATAAAATATGTAAGCTTTTATGTCTGGTTTCTCTCACTTAGTATGTTTTCAAGGGCCATCCATGTTGTAACATGTATCAATACTTCATTCTGTTTCATTGCTAAATAATATTTCATTGTATGAATATATCATATTTTGTTTATCCATTCATTGGTGATGGTCATTTGGGTGATTTCTACCTTTTGGCCATTGTAAATAATGCCGCTATAAACATTTGTTTATCCATTCATCTGGTGATGGTCATTTGGGTGATTTCTACCATTTGGCCATTGTAGATAATGGCGCTATGAACATTTGTGTACAGCTGTTTGTTTGAGCACCTCTTTAATACTTTAGGGTATATATGTACATAGGAGTCCTGGTGTGGCACTGTAAGATAAGTACTCGACCTCAAGGTCAGAATGAACTGCAAGGTAGTTGGTCCAAACTCACCAGTTGCTCCGTGGAAACCCTCTACAGGGTCACTGTGGGTCAGAGCCAACTCAACAGCACTAAACAACAGCAACAATGTACATAGGAATAGAATTGATAGGTCATATGGTAATTCTAATTGAACTTTTTAGGAATTGCCAAACTTTTCCATAAGAACTACACCATTTTGCATTCCCACCAGCAATGCAGGACAGTTTCAATTTCTCTACATCTTTACCTACACTTTTTACACTTTTTAATTTTCCTTTTTTTAAACTTTGTATAGCCATCCTAGTTGTTGTTGTCAGGTGCCATCGAGTCGGAACC